TGAGACAGCCAGTCTCTGAATGATTCATTCATCCATTTTGATGGTAAATTGGTGTTGTATATGACGGGAGTGAAAGTTTCAATCAGCTTGCTCGTAAGCAGCCGTTAATAGTGTAACGCTCGGAGAGGAGCTGGAGAGCCTGCGCGATTGTAGGGGGCCCGTTGCTGTAGGACTGCGGGGGCGCTTGCCCAAACCAATAAACAAAGCTTTATTTAAAAAACCCCAAAAAACTCCAACAATAAACAGACGGTGAGCGTGAAACCCAGTAGCAGCTCCAACCTGCTACCGTAACGGTGCACAGGGGCGGTAGCAGCAGCAGTTCCAAGCTGCTGCCGCACAACATTTGTGCACACAAAAACAATCCCCACTTCATTTCTAATCGCATCATTACATATCACGGAGGAAGAACTCAGGTCAGGGGGCGGGGCGTTTGTATATCACATGGAATCGAAGGGCAATTGGGCAAGGCAAGGGGGGTTTTCCTTGACGTTAACACCTTGATCTTTTTGCAAAACAGTTTTGCTGGGAGACGTTTGCTGTTAGTATTTGTTACCATTCCAGTTGTTTCCCGAATACGAAAAGTGGCGGTTCTCTAGAGATTGCTCGAATAGCCGCTTGCATTCTCGTGATTATCATTCACTAATATGCCAAGTTCATCAGTTATCAGCATAACAAACAGCGACTTTCAGTCCATGCGTAATGTACATCACTTACTGTGACTTTGAAAGGAGCGATTATTAAGGAGGTACAAGTCAAACTCCCCTCTCATCACCTCCGCGTATTATCTGTCTAATAACGGCGGAGAAACTCTGAAAGTATCTCTAATGAAAGCAGATGCTAACAGCAGACTACCTGATTGGCTCGTCTAGGGGTTGCTTACAAGTAGGTTAATGGCGGGTTCAACTGCCGTCCTGTGGTCTCTGCCAGCGAACGTTTCTCATAGAGATTAGCAGGAAGCGTGAACTCATTATTTGGTTGAAAAGAGCGGAATTTACTCGAGCGGTGCTTGAAGATAATTTGGTAGTGAATTTGACTCTTTGGCCATGCCAGTACCAGTTCATCATCAACACGCATGGACGAATTGTAGAACGATTGGTTATCCCAGTTGTAGAACAATTGGTTGAATTGAACTTTCGACCTACTGCGCAACAACCATGCTACTTCCTAGTGCACTAGTTCATAAACTTTTTTCTCTTTTTTTCAAACTCATCTGCCATTCGTTCTGCTTCGGCTTGCAGGAGGAATAAGCCAGAAATGAAATGAATGTATGCTTCGCTCATCTTTTTCCAATTACTTACTAAGCTGGCAGTGTGTTTCACCAATAGACAAATTCAGTCAGAAGCAGTCAGTACACCCACGCAGGACCGGCCCTTGTGTGAATTCGGTTGTGTTTCACATGAATCACAATTTCGAATCCGAAAGCATGGCTTTCCTTTCCAGTTCTTTCAAAACGTCAGTAAAAACTAGTTCATTTTTTTTTAACACTTATTGTTTTAAAGGATCAAAGAAATGACCAAGCAGTGATCATCTTGCCAGAAATTACTGCTACTTTTTGTTTGCTTACTTTTAAATCACGAGAATTTAGTAAATATATGGTTGTTTCCAATATAATTGTTATTTATATTTCTTAATACATGATATTGGCAATATTAAATGCTAAATTACTTATTAAATTTAAGTAGAATTATAAACACTATCCAAACAATAGATATCCACTAATTTTATAGTTTTAAAGATAAATAATCGGCTGGCGAGAAAATGAAAGAAGTATACTAGGCACTCCGTGTGATATTGTTTTTTATCATCGTTTACTTGAAAGAGAAGCAAAAGGCCTGTGTGAATATCTCTGTGACTTTTTTAATTTGACAGTCAGTGGTTGTTTTGTTCAAATATTTTTCAGTTTTGTACTTACTGTACAAGAAAAAGAATATTTTCGGAAAAGTACTCCAATTTTCAGAATTCACTGACCCCTTTACATCTGGCTGCTCGAGAGGGTCACATCGAAATCGTGCGTTGCTTGTGTCTGTTTGGAGCAAACGTTCTCCAGAAGAATAAAGTGAGGGTTTCAAATGTTCATTGAACTTTTCTTCAAAAACACAATGACGGTCAGTTAGCTTCTCCCCACCTCAGATTTTTTTACATTCTACTTTTCTGTCCAATTTTTCTAGAAATTACGAAAAAATTTGCTTGCCCGAGCAGATGAAGGTCGAACCTTCTTGATATTTAAGAGGATGAAATTAGAAATTCCTTCATGCCTTCTACTGTGTTTGAGTTTGTTTGTCATAAAAGGCTTCGTTAGTGAAAAGTTAGCAGTTTCGATAGCTATGTAGATATCTGACATTACATTTTGAAAAAAATGGGTTTGTTAAACTTTCCTTATTTGTTATGATGTTGAGGACAGGATAAACCTGAATAGCACATACCAAGACAGTCCGGGCTGTAAGTGCGAGCATTCTGTTAATAATTTTGCTAAAATGCTCCCATATATCAGGCGCAGTTATGCAGGGCTTTTCGGTTTTGGATTGCATATTTCCAATTAGTGCTCGCTGGCAGTTCAGTGTATGTGCACTATCCCTTCGGAATCCGTTCTGGTGGTCGTTTTTTTTTCAAGTAACAATTTCCAACACATGTTGTGGGAATTGTTATTTGAATTGAATATATTCCCGTACATGCAGCTTTTGCAGGAAGGCATATAAAATGAAATAAAAGACATTAAGTATGCATGAGCATAGCATCGTCCTCCCTTCCTTTTCGCTCTCGAATCATCAATATAGTTCGAAACAGGATCGAATTTTGGCAAATTTTTCATATCGGCAGCTGTTTCGTGCCATCTGCAGGATAATTGCCCGGGTGTGCTGTGTGCCGTACTTCGAATATATATCGAACATTTCTTTTAGAGCAGTCTGATCAAATCAATTGCCAGTGGGATGATTTGTTTTAGTGGGACATAGATCTGTAAAGTGCATCTCGACACCTTTCTCTTCCAACCTTTTTCGTTGAAACGGAGCCAGTCGGATCGTACGATCAAATCTTTGTTTAAGACTATTTTCAGTCAAAGTTTGAGTTCTTAGTCAAATGGATATCCTTATTTTTTCCGCCCCGTACCACGCAGTGCTGTGTTGTACCCGATCCTAGCGGAAAGAAAGATATATTTACACAGTTTGTTGTCTTAAAATTTCGTGTCATCCATTGCAAAAACACCATCTCAGTGTCCACCGCAGTCATCGAAGCTGTAAAGTAATCAGTTCCTTGCCATTTAGCCTAAATTACTGCGATCGAATTGCTTTTAACACTTACGTAATTTATTTTGTCGAATGAAGGGAGCAACGGAGCGAAGGATGCTTGGCTTGTCTCTTTGCGTTCATTTGAATAGTCAGACTCTCCGTCAGATGAGCAGCGTGCAGGATAACATTACGACCACGCTTGAAAGTAGAATTCGGTAGGTAGGATATATTGACCCGTCTTATTGACAACCGATGGACAATATGGATTAGTGGTGGCACCTGTGTAAATGTAAACGACCGCTTGGGCGACACCCGAAGAGGTATTGCAAACACATTGGTAAGTACTGTCCTAGTAACATCAATAACAAAGGATACCAAACTGGTGGCCCGAGCGGTCTTGATATTCTTGGTATCGTGTCTAACCTTTTATTTTCCATAAAACTGAAATGAATTATCCTGTGATATTCTCAGTATATCCTTACAATGAGAAAGCTATGCGATTTTAAGGACGGTTTGACAGCGGAAATAATTGCTTTGGCTCAGGAACATACTCAGATTGGTTCTCTACTCTCAAAAATGAAGTCGGTAAGTGATGTCTTTTATATTTGTTCCTGTTTTCCGTATTTGAAATGAATCGCAGTGCTAATTATTTTGTAATCAACCATATTTTTTCTTGTATCTAAACAGTTCCTCATGCAGTTTTTGCATTTGTCCCTCCCACCATGCTCGCAATCCCCTCAGTAATTTCTCCTCGCACAATAATAACTAATCTCTTTGCGATCCGTTCATTCATTCGTTTCGATGATAAACTGATACCTGCGTGTGCCAAAGAGTCAAGCACGCCATCAGCTAGCTTGTGAGCAATGCTCGAAAGAGGGAGCCATTGATGGCCTTGCCAGCATTTGGTTAATTCTGGCATTTTCTACCGCTCGGACCACTTGTCGGGTGTCTTTGTGACTCACAGGGAGCGAATATGAGTAGTAGGTAGTGATTTCTCACTTTTTTTCTGACCAAAATGCAAATTAGAATATTACTTAGTGAAAACAGTTAATTATTTTTCGTTCAGATCCTTCTGTTCAAGACGTCTTAGTCCTTTTTGCATTTAAATGAGATAAATTCCTTCAACTTACTGTTGATTGATTTTGAATTTCAGGAGCAAACTCGCGACGTATACGTGGAGCAATTGTGTCCTTTAGAAGTACCGCTGCGGCGTATCAAGCTCAAAGTATTTGGACATGCGGGTGTTGGTAAAACTCGTTTAATATGCGCGCTTCAAAGTGGCAGCATGATTGGATCCATCATTGGTGCGGTGCAACGTCGTTTCTCCGATAATCCATCACCATCATCGTCATCGTCGACCACATCAAGTCCGTCACAAGGTTATCCTACGCATTATGCAGTTAGAGAAATCAATCATTACTAAGCAATAACTTGTACCTCACTCACTTTCGTGGATTATTTGTTATTTACTGTAGTCAGAGAAATTAAATTCCCCTCTTTTTTATGCGTTTTTTGCAGCAATGCAATGCGAAAAACGCATATTGACGAGAGGTTGT